CTTTTTACCTCTCGGTAATATTTCATTTGCTTCATCGTTTTTTAAATGTGGTGAATAACATCCTTCCTAATTAGCCTGCATTTCCCTATAAGGTGGAGTAATTAGGTATGATACCAAGTAATGAAATTGGACAGTACAAATTAGAGACAGAAACCACGTCCTTTATGAATATGGGCCATTCATTGCACCAGCTATTTACTTCCTTAATTAACCCTGCAAACCCAAGTTGTTTAAAAAATAAAACAACCTGAAAGCCCAAAACCAGAAGATTCTCTTTTCTTCACTCCAGGCAAGCATACCAGTAGCATGTGCCATTCACAGAGCATTGTGAAGATTAATAACAGTGGAAATACCCAGCTGAAGTTGTGCATGGCACCAATTCCTGTCACCTGGCTTAGATTCTTCTGTGGGGCTCATCTATCCAGTGCTATTTTGCAGGATTGATTCATAACACAGAAATTAAATTGTACTGTTTTCCCTCTGTGAAATAATGCTAGAGAGAATGGATCTTTTTCTTTCTTTCTTTCCTTTTAAATAGATATCTTCAGACTTTGCTTTTTTTTCAGTGCTAAGCTGTAGGGCCTCAAAACTTGCTGTGGTGTTTTGTGAAGATAGGGCTGACAGCCATTTGTTCTCCTTATTTTGACCTATGGCACTAGAATTGTATAAGCAAAACACTGTTTAAAAATGAATGATTTGCATGGTGAGTATTGGGAAAAAAATCTGTTGTAGACATGTTTGGCAATTGTGGATGTCTCCTGCAGTTTCAGAAAATGTGTTGAGGAAAGGTAATTAACCATAAAATTATGCTACAAAATGCAGTCACAGCTTATCGGGTTCTCTATACTGATCTTGTCATTTCCTAGGTCCCCAGGAATAAAGCTGTAGTAACAAAGACCCTGTTCTTCCAGGTGAAATCCATACAGGTTAGGCAGATTTTGCTGGCAGCTCTGTGTGTGGTACCTCTTCCCAGGGCTGGACCAGTTCTGTGCATAACTCCTCCTAGACTAACAGGACTTCTGTTAAGCATGGGAAAGGGCTTTTGGTGTTGTGCTGGTGGGAAGTGCATAGCATAGCATCCAGGGTTGTTCAGAAAGCCGTGATCCTGTGGGACGATTCCGACCTATAAATATAGTCTGGTAAAGGACAAAACGTTTGTTTGGGGTGAGAGTCTTCTTTCCTAAGGAGAATATGATACCTGTGCTCTTAGTTATTCATTTTTCAGCCAGAGGGTGGTGAGGCACTGGAACAGGTTGCCCAAGGAGGCTGTGATGCCCCATCCCTGCAGGCATTGGAGGCCGGGCTGGATATGGCTCTGGGCAGCCTGGGCTGCTGGTTGGTGACCTGCACGCAGCAGGGGGCTGGAACTGGATGAGCACTGTGGGCCTTTTCAACCCGGGCTGTTCTGTGATTCTGTGATTCTATGATTGGCCATCTTGGAAAGATGCCATAGGACAGCGAACTGAGTGCTTTGCAAGTAGATAGGTACACATGTAGTGCTGCTGTCAACAGAACAAAACTCTCCTAGGTGCATCCACTGACTATGAAAAATGTTTTACCTCTCCCTGGAGCCCATTTTATAACTGAAACTGTTACAAATGAGCCTGTGGTATTTTAATTATCGAAGATGTTCTAGTGTATCCAAACAGTACATAATGCTGATGGTAATTATCTCACATTTACGTAATGACTAAAAGCCAAACGTATCCTAAAGACCTTTGTGAACTTTTTAGATGTCGTGTGCAGCATACAGAAAGTCCTTTCCTTGTAAACTGAGATCCGGCAGTCGCCTGCAGTTAGTCAGAGTTTGGGAAACGCAGTGAGAGAGAACAACCCCTCTGCTGACGGGATGTGGTAAGAGAGCAATAGAGAAATTTCCAGGCTGGATGTGGCTCTGGGCAGCCTGGTCTGGTGGTTGGTGATCCTGCACACAGCAGGGGGTTGAAACTAGATGATCGCTGTGGTCCTTTTCAACCCAGGCCATCCTGTGATTCTATGATTCTATGATTCTATAATTCTATGAAAGTGAGCAGCTTTCTTGGGCAGCTGACAAAGCCTCATGACACAAATGTTGGATCTTCTGAGCAGCAGCCAGCTGTTCCGTGAGTTTCAGCTCTGCCTCCTTTCTGCCCAGCTTTCTCCCTATCAGCAGAGTATGTATGCATTGCTCCTTCATTTCAGCAATAGTGGACTTTGTTGGGAAGCATGGCTGAAGGCTGAGCTGGCCCCAGACCCTTGGGTTGCCATCAGAGACCTTAACACACACTGGTGTTTGGGCAGGGAGGAGGCAGCTCCCTGTGGTTTCCTCTCCAGGCTGCACTCCCAGCAGGGCATCGAATCCCGATCTTGAATTTCAAAACCTTCCAAAGCTCTATTCCCTTATTTATTTTCATACCTTACCATGTTGCCAGCGTTGTGCCAGAGAGGCACATCGTTCAGGAGCCTGTGTCTGTGTGTCTGGTATGTTCTTTATGTGTGGATTTTCCACACAGAGAAGCTTCCTTGGAAATGTCCTTCCCTTCCTGAACTTTCATGGCTGGCTCCTGCTTGTGCGGTCTGGGAGGAAGGGCAGATAGGGATGGGTGTGACCAGATCAGAGATGTTGGCACTTGATAGTGTGTCTTCCCAAACTTTTCACAAGATACTTGTGAATCAGAAGCCTTAGGGGCAGGGATGACAGCACAGCACCCAGCAGTGTGCCCTGAGACTGACCTGCTAGTGCCTGCCCTGTCCTACCATTGCTGTGTCCATCAGTCCGTCTCTTCCAAATGTATTCGTTGGAAAAAGAGCAGAGCTGTGCTCTGTGCAAACACTGTGGAACAAGGGCTGCTTGTGAAACACGAGTCTGCTGCACTGGATGCAAATACACTCTGGTCTCATTGTACACCTCGTGTTTAGATGTATAGATGATGCGTACACTGTTAGAGATGATGCATGCTCCCTGGTAGAGTCACAGGGAAGGTTTTCCAGGCAGTACTAACCTCTTGGATCATTCCTTCTCTTTTATTGCCCAATTTGGGCCAAAACTGTAAAAACTTTCAACTTTGATGCCAAGTTATGAATAACATCGTTGTGGCAGGGGGGTTGGAACTTGGTGATCCTTGGGGTCCCTTCTAGCCCAAGCCATTCTACGATTCCACTTGAAATTTAAAGCCTGTGTTTTCATGCTCCAGAGAGAAAGTCCCCCCTGCCTTTTGCTACCAAGCAGCTAGCAACTGGAATTTTAATTTTATAAGTGATGGTTGACTAAACCCAGCACTACATCAATTAGATATTATTTGATTTAGAATAGCAAAGGAAAAAAAATAAGACTTAAAGATACATTGCTCTCTTATATCTGCTCATATTTTTTCGTAGCTCCGTATATATCTTTATACATTCTATTCAGAAGACAGGCTCTTATTTTTTTCTGCATGGTTTAAACTGATCCTGGCACTTTACAGATGCCAACATTGCCTATTCTTGATTTAAGTTGCCTGACTTCACTTAAGCAGGTAAATATAACACTGTTGTTACCTGAACCATCAGAAGAAAATCTAGAAGAACACTTCCAGCATTACTTGCTAATTTCAAAAGCCTGTTTAGCATAAGAAAATTTTATAGAGGTTGATCTGGATTTCAAGAAGTGTTTCCATATATTCTTCCTTCAGTTTTGGAGACCTGTCTTAAAAGAGTCAGATTTTCTGGATATGGTACACAGCATCTGTTGCAGCACTCAGTTGTGCTAAAAGGTGACCTTGAATCAGTTGTTCTTTTTGGAAAATCTTGTCTGTTGCACTTCAGTTGTTACTGATGGCCAGCTCAGGTATGAAGATGGAAGTGTTGGCAGCAACGTGGTCTTTTTGCACAGATGCCATTTTATACTTGCTATCAGAAAATGTGATGAGGAACCCACCAAAGAAGATCTAAGCGTTGGTTTTTGCAAGCAAACAAATGTTGTGGGTTTTTTTTTTTTTTTTTCCAATGTTTCCTTCCTCTGTGTAGTGTGGTGTTGCCATCTGGAGTCAAAATCTGATGTTCACTGCTGTTGTTGGAGTTCCACCTCCTGGAGTCCTTAGGAATACTGCATATCTCTGCCTTCAGAACGTTGAAGATGTATTTCTAGCACTGACAGATGAAGGAAAGACAGGAAACCACTGCGAATTTTCAGTAAAGCAAACTGAATCAAGCTCCCATATTGCAAGAGGTTTTTTTTTAACTGCTTATCTAAACATTTTTCGAACTTGTCTCATGGCTTTTTAAGCCATGAGCAGCCACTTACTACTTCTGTTAACAACCTCTGCTGGAAGGAGGGGGAGATAGAGTGAGAAAATTTAACTTAGGGCCCTGGCTTTCATCATGCCAATCAGTTTAAGAAACGTGAAGTGAAATTACGACTAAGTAGTATTGTGAGCTGGGAGAGTGCTTCCTCAGAGTGTTGCAGTGGTAACTCCAATGGTTGTGTGCTGCTATTAGTGTCTCTTTGGAAAACTGACTGTCCAGTTTCTGCAAGCTGAACATGGCTCTGGAGTATGAGTCCTTGCTTCCTGATGTGAGCACATGATAGTCAAACCTTTGCATAGAATGGAGCTCAGCAAGACTGGCAGGTGTCACAGGCACAGCTATGACAGTGAACAGGCAAAGCAGACCTCCTTGGAGCTGGGCCAAGTGGACTGTGGATCTAACGTCAGGTTTTGTACTTATCTTCCCATGTCTTACTGCAGCTTGACCATTACAGGTTCTCAAATATTGCATGGCAGCGCTGAGAACAAACGTGTGACTGCTACCCTTTGTCATGCCTTTGAATTATACGTGGAGTCAGTGATGGTAGATGATTGCTTTGAGAGTCAGCTGTAATGGAGGAATAATCAATCCATCTTCTAGCAGTGTGCATCTTGCTCCTGTACTCTATGATTCTTCATTGTGTAAGCAATGAAGTACCCACCTATACGGTGGATAAAATAGACACTCATCATTTTAATGCCCATTTATTCTTCGGTCTTCTTTGTCCTCTTTGAAAGGTATTCAGGAACCTCCAGTACCCAATGGCCATTCTCTCCCGGGTAGAGATTTTCTTCGGAAACAGATGCGTGGAGACCTGTTCACCCAGCAGCAGTTAGAAGTGTTGGATCGAGTCTTCGAGAGGCAGCATTATTCTGACATTTTCACGACAACAGAGCCCATCAAACCAGAGCAGGTACTGTTCCAAACATTAAACTTTTTTTTTTTCTTTTTCCAGATATGCTTTCTCCTGGCAGAGGCCTCCTTAGTGGAAAACAACAAAAAATTATTTCTGAAATGTGCAGTAGAAACAGAATAGTGCATAGTAGAATAGTAGAATAGCAGAAACAGATGTGCATGGAGAAACAGGTGTCGTATCAAGCTCTTCAGCCAAGAGCATGTTGACCACGGAAGACTATTAAAAATGACACAAAACACCAGCTGTGTGAAGGTTAGCATGTGTTCAGATATGAAATTACGCCTGATCTGGGCCAGTCACATCAAGTGAGGGCATGAGGAGCATCACGTCTTCTGATACTCCTGTTGGACGTAAAGTAAGCTGCAGAAAATAAGGAATAGATTTGTAAAACTCTATGCCTAATTTTGGCCCATAGTTAGCTTGATTGCGCACACAAATTAGCTTTTTATATCTGGAAATGGCTTATTAGTCATTTAATTGGCCATTTGTAGAGAGAAACACCCAATTAATATGTGAAGGTAAATTTGTCGCACCTGCAGACTAGCAGTGTATTTTAAAAGATTCAGCACGATGTTTTGGAGGAAAAGTTCTGTTTTAGCAGACGCTATGCAGAAGTAAAAGCAAAAAAAAAAAAAAAGAAAAATTATTGGCTGTGTTTCTTAACATGCTTTTTGTTTGTAGGCCTCAGACTTAAATTTATGGGACACAGAAACGAAAGTGTGGCTGTCAGGTCCAACACAGGCCTCGCTTGCTGCATTTTCTATAGTTAGCAATGTAATCAGTCATTGCTAATCTCCAGTGATACTAATATTAAATTTTAGCAAGGTGTTTGAACTCCTCAAACTGCAAACAAACAGTGGTTTCCCTTAGAGGAGTCTAAACATTTGAAAGACACCGGAGAGTATCAGGAACGTGGCCATCTATTACCGCTGTGACTTCAGTATTGAGGAACATGCATCGGCGTAACTAAAGAAAAAACTCCATGTGTGGAGTGGTAGAGTAGAAGCTCCATGTGCCCTTAAGCCTACGTGTGCTGTCATTTGTTGTCTTTCATTTTTTACCAGTTTCTGCTGGCTCTGTGGTTTCCCTGGTTTGTATCTGTGAACTCTGTAAATCTAAATTCAGCCTGGAAAAAGATGGGGAAGTTGCTGAAATCAATTCAGTTTTTCTTTAAAAAAGCTCCTCAGGAAAGCCAAGCCAGCAGCACGTTTTGAAGGTGAAATGGCCTTCACGTACCACTAGATGGTGGTTATCCCATCCTTAACACCAGGGATAATGGAGGGGACAGGCACAGATCCACTTCCTACTACAGTAAGCACTTTCAGTATTGGTCACTTCAGAGATGTTTGATGCTAGATCTGTCCCTGCTTAACTTTCATATACCTTCCTTAGTTTTCTGTATTCCAAATTTTCTGAGTTTTGTAGAACTGTAGCTCATGGGATGCAGTCCAGACATGAACACAAAGAGATGGTTTAATAGAAAGAAGAATTAAAAGAGCATGTTTCTGAAGTCTGCTGGCTTCTGCAGGGATATTCAGCTATTGCTGGAGCAAGGATCTCCCTGGATCTGTATAAGCAGTTGTAACTGGAATGGCTGTGCAACCAGAGCATCAAATCTGGGGATATGCTTCTACTGATCAGGTAAAAAGGGCACTTTCTGCACAGACTGAGAAGACAAACAGATGCTGAGAAACATATTTCTGAGGAAAAGATACTGTAGTATACGAAAGGTCCCTAGCAGAATAGTTTTGCTTAGGCATTTTTAATTACAAATGGAGTTTGCTAGTCATTTGCTTTAACATTCCCATTTGCTTTTGGGAGGTTTGGCTATGATTAAGGGCTCGTGGTTGTTCGAAATGGGATTTGCTTTTTGGTGGCATGCAAAGTATATTTTCAACAGGAACATGCATAATTAATACAAATGTCTGATTCTCAAGGATGTGATATGAACTGCACTGCTTTAGTAAGCAGTCATGTTTAACCTCTTTGGTAGTAAAGCAAAGCTGTCGTGAAACTTAACCATAGTGGAGAGACTGTCTGGACCAATTAGTGAGACAAAAAAAAATCAGTTAGAAAGAAAATATGGAATCCTAGAATCACAGGATGTTTTGGGTTGGAAGGGATCTTAAAGATCATCTAATTCCAATGCACAGACCATAGGCGGGGATACCTCTCACTAGATGAAGATGGAAGCATTACCACGTGACTTGGAAAACCAGAGTTGTCTCTCCCATTAATGACTGTAGTGAACTGTGATCCGCATTCAGAATCTGTCAGTCCAGAATGTGGTTGAACTCAGAAGTCAGTGCATTAGGAACTAGGTCAGCAATGGATGCATGGAGTCCTTAGCTGCTTCTGAAGAGGAAATTAAGGAAAAGGTGCTCCTCATAAAGAGTGGGGAGTCTAACAGGAGTGCTGATCCACTGCCTATCTACTGTGTTAGAAACATGCAGAAGGAGCAAATGGAACACTGCGGATGTTGTTTAGGCACAAAAACTTCTTGGTCCCTGTGACAGTCAGCTGAAGAGGGCTCCAGGTTCTTTATGGGAAGACTCGTGTTTCTTTAGACAAGAAAGTATATTTTCCTCTCTGTTTCGCTGTTCTTCTCTAATTTTTCTTCTTTGTGAGCTGGGCACAGTCCCTGTGTCAGGGCGAGCAGTGCTGTGGGAGAACAAAGTCCATTCCACATAGCTGAACATCTGCAGTCTGAATGCGTTCTGCCTCCAGCTGAAGGCTGGCACCTATTGCCTGAATTCTTTCTGATTTATTTTCTGGGTGTTTTGGGCTTGTTTATTGGAAACTGTGGATTGTCACTTACATAAGCAGGGCTTTGATGTCCTAAATCAGAGTGCCTGCTCACCACTGCCCAAGCGTTTACCTTGAGTGCACACATTCTGTTTCCTTTACTCTTCTGTTTTTAACGTTGCTGTTCTTCAGCTCCCTTCTGTGAAATGCAGACCTGCAGGTTAGCTCTTACTTCCAAACACGTTGTGCACTTGGCAATCTGAGTTTTCATATCTACTGTAAAAGATGACTGAGACGAAGAAGGCCACAGGGAATGAATACTTACCTCTGACTACAGGCTATTGCAGTGCTGAGAGGAAAGGCAGTGACAAGAGAATCTATGGCAGACAGTACTTCATTCAGAAACAAAGTCTGTTGTAGGCATAGGGTGAGGCAGGGATCCCACCATATGTTCATATAATTAAAGATTTGTCGGGATATAATTAAAGATTTGTCAGGGGATGGAAGTAGGGCATTATGTGTCTCATCGAGCAACCTAGTGTCCCTGTGATACAGCCGTACGTGTACCTGAGTGCACTCTGCAGGACTGGCATGTAATACCCACATGTGCAGTGCATGAAAAACATTCAATGGCAGGTGAATGCTGTGCTGTGATGTCAAGAAGTTGTGAGATGGGAAGGTGAAGGTCCCTTGCAAACCGAGTCCACTGGTATCTACGTGTTACTGGAGTGTAATGTGAGGATAGGCATGCTCTGGCCTTACTCTATCCTACAAGAATCCTGCTATGAACAGTAACTGATGTTTAAGTGAATGCCTTTCCATCACTTTTGTCCCCTTTTGTGCTCATCTCATCTTCTGCAAACAGCCCACAATTGATTTGCACTGGCTGCAGATGTTGGCAGAATACTCACGTGTTTCTGGGAAATGATTCTGAGCTGCACGTAGGTGTGTGTTTGCAGTGCCATCACTGCGATGGCATTCTGCTCACGAGTGTCAACCAGCAGCACCGTGCAGCCGACACATCAGCCGGTCAATATTTCTATTGACTTCAACAGACTTTAGATCGGGGCCATAATGAAGCATAGCGTGATGTGACCAGGTTCAACACTGTGTAGGTCACTGAATTAGTAGAGAACAACTTGCTGATAATAGCAGATAATTCCCTTGTCTTTGCTGATGCTTTCACATTACTTCTAGCTAGAACTGAATTGATCATCTCTTTTTGAATTCGTTTCTGAATGATACAGGGATACTGCAGGTGGGAGCTAACCTGAAAAACATGAAGCAATATATTCACTTGTGAGATGCAGTACTGTTAAGCCTGGAGATAAATACAGGCAGCTGAATTCCGCGTATCCAACACCGCCGAAAGAATTACTAGTAAATCAGAAAGAGTAAAAAAGTTCTGCACAGCTAGTTACGTTTGATTGACCTCAGAAAGTGCTGTAATGAAGGAGCTGAGCTGACCAAAGGAGGAGCACGCAGGGAGATGCACAGCGCTTCCTACAGCATGGGATTTTAATCCCCAGGAATAGCAGGGAGTGCCCAAGAAAAAGGGAGAAAGTAGGACTTATTTTTCAGGACTTACATTTCATTTCTGATTTGACTCATTTACTCAGAAAGTCATTAGAGAAGCAGAAGGAAGGAATGAGATGTAGGACCTTGCTCCTGGTCTCTGGCATAAAATTAATGTGGTTTTCTCCCTAAGGGAAACTGTCTGGGTGGATGGGGCTGCTGAGGATTTTCTGAAATTACTCTGAAAGTTGTAACGAGAAAAGCAGAGCCACTGTTTATTTACTTCTTCCCAAAACTACATGGTTTTCAGTAACAGTGAAAAATATGGAGCATATCTCTGATCAAAAGAAAATGTGGAGCAAAAAGTGGCTTGGAAGGCAGGTCTGCAGTTTTTACTGCTCCTCTTCTATCAGCTGAAACAACTTCTGATTCAGGCTATGGCTTCATTGGTGGGAAGAAAAAAAACCACCAGAAACAAAACCAACTCTAAAATCCAGCCTAAGAAAGCATGTCGGGAGAGGAAAAACCTTCCCATATTTACTCTCAGTAGACTATTAAGCAACACGAGGCTATTAATTTGGCTTTTGAGTCTTCACTGAAGCCCATAAAAGTGCACAGTTGTCAAATGGAGTTCGTTTTAATTTCCTTTCAATCACAGTAAATTATTCAGGTGATAAATCAGCTGGAGTAGCCTCCTGGCTGTAATAGAAACCCTAATTCCTGGCTAATTATCCAGC